GGCGCCGTTGCGCGGCCGCCGCCCGGGGTCCGCCATGTTCTCCCGCGGGGCAGCCGGTCGCTCCTGGCCGAGGTGCGGGTTCCCCAGCGAAAGCGAAGCTGGGCTGGGCCGCACGGAGGGAAGCGGGGCTGAAGCTCCCGCGGCGGGAAGGGGTGTAAATGCCCCGTTCGCCCACTGTGTGCAGGGGCGGGCGGTGAGGGGCGGGTTGTGGGGCCGCTGCTGGCGGAGCTCCCTTAGGTGGGAGAGCCTCCCTCTGAGGGACTCTTGAGGCCCACGCCTGGTTGTGCCGCTCAGCTTGATTTGCTGAAGTAAAATTATAAACGGACTACGATGTCTGCGTGTGATAATGTTTCAAAGAGGTCAATAAAATAAAACCACCTAGCATGCTCATGTTGTCTTGGCTTGTCTGCCGCCAGCCCACAGCCTCCGCCTCGCTGGTCCCAAGGAAGGAAACGTGGCGCAGATGGAAAGCGGAGAAAGCAGAATGAATCCGATTCATCCCTTTTTGATGAAAACAAGTACAGGCTTTCTGACAACAGGCTGGACAGGTAGGCAATGCTTGCAATAGAAACAGCTCTCTGCTCTCTTGTTCATCAGGAGCTGTTGAACTGACGATTGTACTCGGTTTTTCAAGCCCTGCCTATTTATAAATCACTCGTCGACCATAAATAGCTGGTCTTAAAGGAAGGAAAAGAATCAAGTGCAGTGTTCTTACCGTGGAGTCACTTCTTAAGAATAAACATTTTTCATTCTTATGGCTTGTATTACATTCTTCATCGCTTTCTGTGTTATTTCATGCTTGCTTACTGCCATTCATCATGAAGCAATAACTGCACAAGCCAATTATGTTTGTTTGTGGATATAGGCTGTATGTACCGTTGCGGTAAAATTAAGTCATCTGCCTTCATGTTGCTGAAGGCAGTACAGACCATCTTGAAAAGTTGTGTCCAAGTATGTCAGCACGTGTGTGGTGGGGTCCACTTCTGAGGTCACTCACTCTGTTCATACTGTTGCTCGCTGCCTTCCTTACTGTTTCCTAGCACAGGTAAACTAGAGTTTAGTGAAAGTATCTTATTTTATATCACTATCTACACTCATGCCGTGGTCCCTTTTATCAGTGGATGGCAGTTGTGGCCTGCAGCCCAGTTGATTGAATTTAGATTTCTAATCCATAATGAGATGGGTTGTGCCCTGTAACTAACCATTTTTCTTTGCTGATAATAAGCATGGAAGACATTGGTCAGTGGCTCAAATTACAGTATACAGAGTAAATTAAGTTAATTTCAGGAAGTGTGTTTGGATAGGAGTACAAAGATGAAACTTTACAGATTGCTTCATCAGTTTCAACCTAAATAAGCAATGCTTTTGTGTGTCTTCCAGTATTGAACTGAACAGGTGTACTTTCTGGTTTAGTTTGGATTCAGCTCTGATTGAAGTTGTTCTCTTCCTGTGCTAAAACTACATTTTGTTTATGCTAATTTAACATTGTGTCCTGGTTTCGGCTGGGATAGAGTTAATTTTCTTCCTAGCATCTGGTACAGTGCTGTGTTTTGGATTTAGTGTGAGAACAATGTTGATAACGCACCGACGTTTTAGTTGTTGCTAAGTAGTGCTTACACCAGTCAAGGACTTCTCCACTTCCCATGTTCTACTGACTGAGCAGGCTGGAGGTGCACAAGAAGCTGGGAGGGGGCCCAGCCAGGACAGCTGACCCAAACTGGCCAAAGGGACATTCCATACCATGGGACGTCATGCTCAGTACATAAACTGGGGAAAGCTGGCCGGGGGGGCCGCTGCTCGGGGACTGGCTGGGCATCGGTCGGCGGGTGGTGAGCAATTGCACTGTGCATCACTTGCTTTGTATATTCTTTTATTATTATTATTATTTTATTTCAATTACTAAACTGTTCTTATCTCAACCCATGAGTTTTCTCACTTTCACTCTTCCGATTCTCTCCCCCATCCCACCAGGGCTGGGGGAAGAGTGAGCGGGTGGCTGTGTGGTGCTCAGTTGCCGGCTGAGGTTAAACCATGACACATTGTCAAAATAAAATTTTAAAATGGGAAGAGGATGGGGATGGATGTTGGGTCATACAACAGATTCAGTCTGGTGGGGGGCTACAGCCTTGTTTTTCTGCACCTCTGGCAGAGTTTGAGCACCGCTTGCAGTCCTGTCACGGCACCAGAGCTTCTCACCAAGTGTGAAATAGCATGTGGGGATGAGGGTCTGAAGAAAGACGGCGAAGCTTAGTATGTCTGGCACCAGTACTGTCACAGAGCAAATTAATCGAGAGAAATCCCACATTCTCCCTAACTCTCTGTATACACAGCACAGGTACAGAACCAAACAAGTACAAAAAGGTATGCCACAGTGTTGAGGAAAAAGCTCAGACGGTGGGACTAGCCATGTATTTCTGGGATTGCAAAAATTGAATGTGGCCTGCATTTTCTGCAAAGTTAGAAATCAATATAAGCAAATGCTAAAAATCCTTGGAAGTTGGACAGATATTTGCAGAGGGACCTGTACCGTTTGCTGTGGATTTTTAATTTTTCTGAGTTGGTAACTGGGTTTCACCTAAAAAGAAATTTAATTTGAATTTAACAAAAACTTCAAAGTAGTGCAAGCCGATTTCTGAGCTGGGAGCAGGGAGGGAGTTGGAACTGGTTTTAGTGCAGATGGATCTAATTCCCTTACTTCAAGGGACTTCTTTGTGCAGAATCCTGGTAAGTCTCCAGAGCGTTTCCAGATCTACTGAAAAAGCTCTGGTCTGTAGGATGTGGTTTTGAGTTTGTACTTTAGGAAAATCAGTCATCAGGAGGACAAAAACTGGAAAACATATTCAATAATCTAAACGTAGACAACTTGTTGGATATGGAATGGATATAAGCTTATTCCCCTGCAGCAGTCTGAATCTGCTCGTGATGCTAATGGGCTACAATAAAGTTGTTAAATACCAGTTTGCAAAGTCATAGCAAATCTCAGTTTACTAGCTAAAAATTGACTGCTTTTTTTTGTGCCTTTGCCTTCTCTACTAGGTATATTTTCACATGGAGAAACTCCTGGTGCTATTGTGTAATTTTAAGTCATTAGCTGTACAATTGAATTCTGTGTTCTAACTTTTGTCTCTTATATAGCTAATGAGTCTGCAATCATGAAAGAATAAATATTTCTTAACTCATTTAGTGGAGTGAAAATAAGTGAGTAAATGAGTAAAGTTGGTATTTCACATACCGTTTTCTGAAGGACACCAGCTTAAAGTTATTGAAAGTGTAGGCTAGGTTACATGCTACAGTGGTATGTATCTATAGCTACCTACAAAAATTTTTAAGGAAAAAAACCGAACCCAAACCCCAAACCACACAACTTCAAGGTTGAGGAACTATCAACTGGTGCTTAATTTTACAATGATGATATTTTAATAGAACAATACAAGATTTTCACAGCCATTGTGAGTACTATAAATGAACATATTAAATAGCTATCAAGCTGTGAATGGGGGAGATGCTGCGGGTGGGGTGGGAAATACAATAAAATAAAATTTTAATGTAGAGGCTTTTTTTTTTTCTTTCTTTTTCTTTCTAGTTTTACGACACCAGAAGGCCCTGGACCCCTCTCCCGGTGTTCAGATTGGGGAACTGCAGTGGAAGAAGATGAAATGAGGACCAGTGTTAACAAAGAAATGGCAAGGTACCCATGGGTGTTTAAGATGAAGTGGGGAAAGGAGGGGAAATAGTAGTTGTCTTGTAGAATCTGTATTGACTTTTATTTTTAACTTCACCATTGTAGTAAAATCAAACCAACCTTAGCTTCTTGTCTGCTGCTTTTAAGTCAGCTTTGGCTTAAGTCCTGCAGGAATGATATAGCATACCACATACACTCTGGAGAGTGGATGTGTATCACTAAATATCTCCCTTTTGGAAGAATCCTTTCCAAAATCTCTGAGATTGAATTACTTTGAATGTCCTTTCACTAATTACTGTTTTTGCATATTGTTGCTATAAAAAGATTTTTACGGAGAAGACTTAGGAAAAGAAAGTCCTCAGATTTTTTCAGGGGAAAACCAAGAGATCAGTTCCATAGTGGAAAGGCGTTTACAGCGTCTGGGTTGACTTCGAGACTGCTGCTTAGCTGAGAAGTAAAATCAACTATGAGCCGTGACAGTGCAGCCTTACATGTTCTCTTTGTGTATATTCTTAATATGGATTTGAACTCTTACAGATACAGAAGAAAACTCCTGATAAATGAATTTTCAAGAGAAAGGAAGTCCTCCTCTGGAAGGTAGGTTAAATTTCTAGCTTAGCTGAGGAAAATCCTGACAATAGTTCTGAATTTTCACATATACCATTGTTGCTTCTGAAAATGCTCAGTTTGAAGTAGTTCATCTTAAGTCTGCTCTAACATCATAGTTCAGTAACATTCATTTGAAAAGTTTTAACATGTTTCTTTATAATCTTCTACACGTGGGTTGGTTTGAGCGTCGCTTGTTTTCTAATAGTCCCAAATCTACAATGTTTTTTCTTTAGTTCTGATTCAAAGGAGTCCACTGTGACAGTAGAACTTGAGACAGATGAAGTGGTTTTGATGAGAAGACAAAAACAGATAAACTACGGGAAAAACACAATTGCATATGATAGATACATTAAAGAAGTTCCTAGGTAAGCTGCTTGAGTTTCTGGAAAACTAAATGTTCAATTGTAAGTCATACCTGTTCTTTATAAGCGTATTAATGTACTAAACTTGGTATCCGAGACACATTCAAATAGAAGGTATCTACAAATTAAACTTTCTAAGACATTTTTTAACCGATAAGTCACACTAACAATCAAATGAGACGTGGATTATTTTTTTACTAGTTGGTACATGAGGAATATCCCTTCAAACTTCCTCATGCTGCAGAAATGGAAGTGAAAGTTCTTTTGGTTGTGCTTGTCAACTAGAAGAAATAAAACTGCTTCTTGCAGTCAGTGTTCTCATTAGTGAACTAAAAGACAAAATGGACTACAGTTGCTCTTAAGTTTAGAATAAGGTTTTCAGACCTGTGATTGATAATCCTTTTTTTTCATTTGACTTGAAGACAGAAAAACTAAAAAGTTCATATGGATCTGACAACTTTTCACTTGCGTGCTGGAATTGCACAGTATTATTTTCTCATAAATAATATAATAACTTAGAATCTGTTGCGTTGTAATGAGTGTGTAGCAGGCAATCACTCTTACCATTTAAAACTACGTTATGTATGTGTGAAAAGCACTAATGAATTTTTCATGTCTAATATCTGAATAGATGCCATCGTATACCAGGAGTTCATCCCAGAACTCCAAATAAATTTAAGAAGTACAGCCGTAGGTCATGGGACCAGCAAATTAAACTATGGAAAGTTGCATTGCATTCCTGGGATCCGCCTACTGAAGAAGGATGTGATCTGCAAGAAATGTACGTATACAGTATTCAAGATACCTGTATAGAAATTAATGTATAAAATCTCATGTTAAAAAAAAAAACAACCCAAAAAAAAGCCCAGCATAGTCCTTTTTGAGAAAAGTCTGTGATTGCTGAATGTTTTCATTAGTAACTTGTCTACAATTAGTGCTATTCAGTTCCTTCTCAGTCAAAATATCTAATAGCTTTCTGGACCTAGTTGGTGGGACTAGACTTACCCAGTGTCCTTGCAAGGGCATACATATATATCTCTCACTTCTTTAATGTATGTCCACTGGGTGAAATCAGAGCTTATTCTGCAGTGCTCTATAAAAGAAAATACCACACCATCGAGGCAAGCTGATTCTTTCAGAACACTCTGCAGATTAATCTCTGGTAGAAGCAGTGCTGGAGAGTTCTCGCTAATTAACAGATCTCATTAATATTGAGCTTGGACCAATACAATGTACAAGAACCTGCCTCATAGCCTTCTCACTTGCTAGTTCAAGAACAGTTGTATAAATTGTTTCTTGAGCAGAGAGGAGGAAAGAAGTACTTGTAAAATCACCTCGAGGTACCATTAAAAGCATGGCCACAAGTGTTCACAGTCCAAGCTACTGTGGTATTCTGCTCTAGAAGATGCAGAATAATGCAACTAGTTAATTTTCCTCTAGAGAAACCAATAAAGCTGATCAGGGACATACAAAACAAAACTGTGGGACTACAGAATGAAGGGAACACAGGTGTAACTAAGTCCTCAGGAGACGGTTTTGTGGTAATAAACTACTGTTTTTCCCTAACGGTGATGCTGATTTTAAAACCAATATGGAGCAATGGGATCTAAAAGCAAAGGCTTACTTTTAGCTTCCTTTTACTTGTAATCGACGTGAGGGGAGTTGGTGTTTCAGCCTGAAGCCTACTGCATATGTTGAAATACTAGTCTATCTTCAGATGCTGGGGTCTAGTTCTGTATGTAGTGGATATTAAATCTTATGTTGCAAAACAAATGATGAAAACCTTATCTGGAAAAAAAATTCCTCGCTCTTCCATAACATCTGTCATCATTTGTATTGAGGCATTGTTTTAAGTGTTGGGTATTTGCCTTTTACAAGTTGCAGTATCCAATCTCAAGACTTTAATTTAGTCCTTGGCCGTTTTGGCTGTATTGAGTTGACCCGCGCTTCTGTTTGGTCTCTGCAGTTTGCTACCACTGTCGGTCTCTTTGCTCTTGTTTGGCCATCATTTTCAGAACTGCACCTACGAAGTGCAGCTTACTACTAAAAAACTGAATTTGTTTTAAGCTGTATGCTTTTTAATTATTTTACAGTAGTCCTGTTGACCTTGGTGAGATGGAGACAGAATCTGTCGGAAGCAATTCTACTGAATCTCAAACGAGCTGTCAAGATAATGATGTAAGCATATCTGTCATTTGGATAAATATTTGTTAATAATTGGTCCATTACTTGCAGTTAGATCCAGAGTAGCCTGAATAAATGAGAAATTCCATAATCTGCTATGTTTAGGGACTGTTTATAAAGCTGAGCGATCTTTAAATTCAGACGTTTTCCCAGCTGTAGCCAGTATCTGTCTGTATTCTGAGTTCAGAGAGTTAGAACTTAAGTGACCATCTCAAATGACGGATATCTCATTTTTCATAGCCTGCAAAAGAAAATTTATCTGTTCAAAGCATGTCAGTTATGAACTGTGACATACAGTGGAAATACTACTTTAGATTGCAATATCTAATTTTAAAATAGGATGTAATTTTCTTGGCACACTCAGACTTTTTGAAGTAGGCTCTTTTTATATCCAGAAAGCATTTAGTACAGCTGAGCAGTAACCTTCAGTAAAGATCTAGTAATGTTTTTCTTACGGGATTTGTTTCTCTGGTGAATATCAAATCCGTATAATGTTTTAATGTGTGCATATATAGATCCTTAAAACATTTGCAGGAAATCTTAGAATGTGGTTGAATGGGCAGAAGCCTTCATTTAAATCTCTTCAATCTTAAGACTAGCCCTGGGTTTTTGTATGGCCTGTGAAGTGTTTGTAAGCCTCTGTTACAGGGTGGTCTGAACAAATTACAGGAGTGAAATGAATTATTGCATAACTAAACCTGTATTTAACTGCTAATTATTAACTGACTTTGTATTCCAGGATACCTGTTCTGGCACTCCCACCAAAGTTAGACATGTTGACTATCAAGCAGAAGGTGAATTTGACTTGGAAGTGTGTTTGAGTGAACCACTTAAAGATTTCGATACTGTGAGTTAAATAGTCCTGTGCAAACTGTTTTAGAGGAAGTTTCTTTTAAATTTGAGAGGTTAGCTTGATTCATAAACTGTTAATAGTAAGAAAGCTTAAGCAAAGTTGAAGACTGTTCTCAAGTTGTGGTTGGTCTACATCTTTTCTGGACCAAACTTATGTAAAAATAGAGTTAAGTTGTGTGACTTCTTTTTAACTTTTAATTTATGTATATCAGATTTTTTTATAAAACCTTTCAACAGAAAAAAAAATGGCCAAAGGCAATGCTATCCTCAAGTAATTATAAATAGTTCAGCAAGATCTTACTGGTTTTTTTCCTCATTGTGTCCATAATGTCAATTGTCCACCTGCAGATCAAGAGCAAAGTAGGGAGGTATTTTTGAGCATCTGTATGTTACCTTGCTTTTGCATCTAACTTTACTACAAGGGTCTGACTTGAGGTAATACAGGTGGTAGCTGAACCACACTACTGATTAGTACTAGTAAACTCATCTACTGCAGTTACCTACTGTAAGATTAAACTGCCTTACCTTTTTTTTTTAAAAAAAAAAGGCAGATTCTTTTTTTATTTGAAAAAATGTTTCTAATTGGAAATTAAATACTCTTT